AGTCTGTGGGGTAGAGCAGTGTCTCTGAGACCCCACCTTGCTTCTCCCGTCTCTAGTTTCCACTGGACCCACACACCTGTCAGCAGCAGAGGGAGGGGGGGGTGGGGGGGTGCATTTATAAGAAGCCAGTGGCAGCTGAAGTGTCCAAAAATAGGCATCAAAATTAGCAAGACTCCTCTGTCCTGAAACCCAAGATGGCAGGGGGGCAGGGTACTGAGAGCAACCCAGCCATTTTGGCTCCCCTCCTGGCTCTTGCCGGCCTCCAGCAAGAGCTGCCTTACACCCTTCCAAAGTGGGGTAGCAGTGGCCCTCACTCCGGGTTGGGAAACTGAGGCTACTGGTCCTCTAGAGTTCCCTAAGGCCCACTTGAGCAGATCTGGATCTCTCCACCTTATTTCAATATCCCTGTAAGTTGGGGAGAGGCAGAGGTAGGGTGGCAGGAATGGGACAGGGCTGGCCAATCAACAACTGAGAGGGAAAGCAGTTGTCCCGTGGAGAGTTCTGGCCTTAGAAGGGATTTATGAAAATAGCCTGTGAGGTCAGGTTCCTTGGGGGTACACGCCAACCTCCGTTTCTTCAAGGGTGACAAAACTCAAAGGGGGGCGGGAGGTCCTGCCACTCACTTGCTATGGGACCCTGATCACTTCCTGCCTTGGGCCCAGTACCCTCTGATCAACCTTGTCTGGTCCTATCTCCTCCAAGGACTCCCAAGGACTTCTAGAAAGCTCACACTCAGGAAGGTAGGGTTCCCAACCTGGAGATTTCAGCAAAGCTGAGGCCTGGAGGGCTAGGGTCTCTTGGGACCACCTATTCTCCCAGCCATAAGCAAGATCAGATACGACCTATCTGCTTAGGCCCAGACCCTCCCATTCCCTCTGTCCTGTTTCTGCTTGGCTCCTGTCTATCCTTGATCTGAGCCTTAAGATCTGCCCTGGGGTGGGGGGCCCAGATATCTCTCCAGTTTTCTTCTTTCCTAGGATGACCTGAGGTAAGCCCGTATCTACAAAATTGCAAGAGTAGCTTAGGGCTCAGAGCTCTGGCTCCAGGAATGAGTTGAAATGCCATTCCTTCCCTCAGGTCACTCTTACACAGCCCCAGAAAGACTCCCACCCTGCTATATCACAGCAGGCAATCTCGGAGCTCTGGGTAATGTCCCCTAAGTGGATCCTTATCTCACTCTTTGAACTTCTCCCTAGATCCTACCTTAGGAGGGCTCCTTATCCCTGAGGCCCCCAGCATCTCCCCTCCTCCCTTCTCCCAGGTCCTTTTACTCTGGTTTGGCACCAGTCATCCCGAGGCTCAGCCGCCATGTTTCTAGTCATCAATACATAACACAGTATGAGGCCCAGGACCCGTTTGAGTGCCCCTTAGATGTTAGGTACCCAAACCCTGACACAGTCACCCACTCCTAGGCAGGCTGTTCACATCCATACCCACCTGGAGTTGAGTCTGAGAAAGGCTGGGGGCTCCTTGTGGACAGGACCAGCAGCAGCAGGCACTGTCTGACAGCCTCACCCCCTCATGTTATAGTGACATCTGATCTTCCCTGGCAGCCCATTGGCCAGCAGATGGGTGGCTGGGGCATGGGGAGGGGGAGGGTGTGCCCAAGCAGGCCCCTGACCAAGTATAGGAATGCCCCAGAGGAGGAGGCCCAAGGAGGCAAGGATGGAGGAGACATGCCTGGAGGAGGCAAGGTCCCCAACTGTCCTAGAAAGGTGCCAGTTGCTATTTTTACCTACCCCCCACCCCGGGCAATGGGCACATGCTTGATGGACTGACGGAGGGAGGAGGGATGGATTAGATGGAGCCAAAGACTGTGTTGAGCCAGGCTGGTATTGGGGAGTGGTCATCAGAGCTTGGGTTTCAAGTCCCCTGCTCCTCTGCCCAAGGTGGCTTGTAGGAGTGGGAACTTTGCTCAAGATAGGGTCTAATTCCATGTGGCACCCCTGTAGCTCGGCCCTACGTCTCCATCACAGAGACAGCTCAAAACACCCACAGAATGAAGGACCTTGAATCCTTGGCCCGTATTGTACCAAACCCCTTAGAAACCAGGCCTATTTTTTCAAGTGGACACCATTGGAACATATAACAAGAGAAATGATGACCTAAACCCTGTGGTGGTTGTTGATCTTCCCCAGTGATTGGGGAAGGCTGGGTCATGTTTGGGCCTATTTTTGGTCCAGGGGTTCTGTCCTAAGATGTTGAGACCTAGGCTCTATTGGGTTCTGAGCAGGCCTGGCCATGTGCCTGGCCTTTCTTTCCTCAAGACTCCAGGGGGCACCATCCAACCATGGACACCTCTCCTGGGCCTTGTGTGCCTGGATAGCCCTGCCTTTAGGGAAACTAAAGCACCAAGTAGCAAGAGACCAACTTGGCACTTCCTACTCATTTCCTCAAGTCTCCCAGACCCCACGGGTTGGGCATGACAGGTAAGGCCCATGGATCTATCCAGTTCAGGGGAAAAGTCAATGTGAACCCCAGGGGACACAGACAGGGCTCCTGTTCTTGGCATCCTAGGGTTAGAGACAAGCTGGATCTTCGAGTTTCTGGAAGGTTGAGATGGACCCACCAACCACTTCCTACGTGTCGGAGATGGGCCATAGAGTAGCAGAGACACACAAGACCCACCTTATTGTCAAAAGCAGGGTGGAGCCAGTCTTTTAGCCTGCGGGCTCACAGAACAGGGCCTCTCTCCTGCTCTCCTCTGCTCCAAGCACCTGCCCTTTAGAGGTCCCTCAAAGCTGGAGTTGCTGGGCTACTCCAACCTTCCACAGCCATCCATGTCCTTGGATAGATAGGGTTCAGTGAACTCCAAATAACACAGATGCCCAGTTCAATCTGCCCTTGGAGGTCATGTAGAGTTTATGAAGCCCCACACTGGTGCCAAGGGGACTCTAAATCTCTTCTGTGCTAAGGCCAGCCTCCCTTTCATCAGGTTTTAACCGAAACAAAGCACATCCCTCAGTTGAGGAACACAGAGAGCAGACACGAGGGATTTGGTCCAGTCTGTAGTTTTTGAAGTCCTGCATCCAGAAGCTCTTTTGTCTGAGAGGAATGGGGGTCCTTAGAGGTCTGTAGGAGGGTATACTATTGTCTCTGTAATGGCTCCTTATGGCCAGCAGGGGAGGGTGGCTGCTCACTTCAGAAGTCTTTGGCAGGCACTTGCAGTGAGGTCAGAGAGACAGGGCAGGTCTTATTTTGGGTAACAGTCATCTCCTTCTCAGGGGACCAGGCCCAAGGTACAGCAGGACAGCATAGAGTGGGCACTGCTGGACCTGTTGCTGCTGGCCACTAAAGACTTGAGCAGGTAACACACGCCAGGTAATATACAACAGGTCCTCCTTGGCTTGGCTGGGGCTCGGTGAGCAGGGGAGACAGAGCAAAAGGCTCCCTGGGGATCTGGGAGAGGACTGGAGACCCTGGTGGAGGTGGGGGACAAAGTCTGTTGGATGGGTGCTGAACTTCTACCCAGGAGACTGAGAAGTGTGGAGTTTGAGGCTTCACAGACTGGTTGTGAAGGATCCCTCAAAGTTGGTGAATGAAGATCTTAGCCTTGCGGACAGAGGAGGTTGAGAAGGGCCTGTCTTTCCAGTGTTTTGGCTCCAGTAGCCAATATGGGCGACTCCTAGGATAGTGGGGTGCTCAGAGGCCATCCAGACTGGGAGTGTAAGAGGCCCTGGACCCTGAGCCTTACCCAGTACTCCTAGTTGACCCACTGTGGCTAGCTCTGCCAAACCCAGGATAGGACTGGCTGACGTGGCATTTGGGACTCAGCAGCTGTGATCTGGGCAGCAGCTGCCTCCATGCATGACAGCTCCTCCAGCTTCTAAAAACACAGATTGGCTCGACAGGTATTAGGGCACTTCTGGGTCCAAGGGACTTCACTTTGAGCAGGACCTTGAGGAGGAAACCCCAGCTATTGGATCCCTCAGGAGTCAGGCAGGAAGATGGAAGGGCCGTGTCCTGGTGTCTCGGGCAGGGTGGGCAGTGTTATAGCAGGGGGTAGACTCTATACCTGAGACCCACACAAGATTTAGCGGAGTTGTACTTAGCACACCTTGCACTCTCCTCCCGAGGTGAGTCAGGGGAGCATTGTGCAATAAACACTTTCCCTCTGTCACTTGACATACCCATTCTGGTCCTACACTAGTATTTTGCTCCCTGTCCCTTAAGGACCTTGAAACAGCTTCTGCCCTTGGTCACCTCCTCATCTGAGTAGAAAGGGCAGGGAGTGTCCCGTGTCCTGGGAAAAGCTTCTTGTGGAGCAGAGTAGAGCTCCACATCTACATCATGGTGAGGCTGTGAGCAGGCTGGGGACATCAACCTGTGTGAACATTAATATTCCAGAGCTATGTGTCCCCACCAGTGGAGTTGGAAGCTTTCAGAAAGTCAAGATTCTGAATGTCTAGGTAGATGTCATTGTCAAGCTTAGCTCATCATTAGTCAAGGATCTCCAGAGTCCAGAGGCAATAGGGTTTAGAGTCAGGCCAAGGGGCAGGCTTGTGAGGGGCGGGAGACCCCAAGGACAACATCCCATAGCTCAACTGTCATTCACACACTTGGTCAGCCACTATACACTCATTCACCCTCACAATCAGCTCTCACAGTTTCTACTTCCATTCCTTCCTTTCTTCTCTCCTTTCCACCATTTTCTACTCCCCCACCTATCCATCTACTCATCCATCAACCCACCCACTCAACTACTTACCCATCAACACCTCCACCTGTCACTATTCATTCATGTCTCCATCTAGCTACCCATTCATCTACACAGCCAGCCAGTCAGCTACTCATGTATCTATCTGTCCCTCTATCTACTCATAAATGATCTATCCTTCTGCTCATTCATCCATTTATCTACTTACACTCTGTCCATCCATCCATCTACTTACCCATGAGCTCACCACTCATCCATCACCCATCATCCATCTGTCCATCCATCTATCACCCATCCATCATTCACCTTGTTCCCTGTTAGTGAGCACAGGAGAGCCAGTGCATGGGGCCATTCAAGATGCTTTATTACACAAGAAAGAGGGACTCAGAGTCCTAAACATTCAGCATGGGGACAGGTACCGCTTGGATCTGGCTGGGATGCTGGCCTTCTCTCCTCCATCCTTCCTTGGGAGCTCTTGGTTCCTCTAGGGAGTGGTCCCTTTAGCTGATGGTGAGAGGCAGAGGTAGGGGGGTTGATCAAAGAGTAAGAGGGGATAGAAGATGGAGGGTCCAGGAGCAAAAGGAGGGGGGAGTGGCAGCTGGGTTGTTGGAGGCACAAGAGCAGGCCAGACTGGCAACAGGAAGCAACTTCTTGGTCAGGGCTGGGAATGGCTTCTGACTGGAGTATCTCCTGGAAACATAGGCAAGGGTATGGGGTGCATTAGGCTGGGGTTGAAGAAGTGGCACAAGCTGTCCTTCTCTATGACCCTACTTTCCTAGTGTCCATCAGACCTTACCATAGCCCTCCTTATCTGGGGAGGCTCCTGCTTACAGTGGTCAGTCACCTAGGAGACCATCTCTCAGGCTCAAATCTATTCTGGGCCTAGGCTGGCTCAGGAGGCAATACTGACTACCCACTGGGGCAGCCCTCTTGAACCAAACCCAAAGTTACCCCAATTCTTTAAGTCCCAATTTCCTAAAGGTAACCCAGAAGCTTGGAGCAAGTGTGGGAAGACCACCCCAGCCCCCTTCCAGTGTTTGCTTCTGCTCCAGCAGAGTCAGCTCCGACCGCGGCAGTCATAGGCCTCCTTCCACCCCAAACCAGATGGCCTCCAGTTTGGCCCAGATGCCATTTGTCAGTGTCCTTGCAAACATGTGGCGCCCAGAAACCAAGACAGGCAGCTCGGCCTGGACCACCCCTGGCAGGAGGGCTGTGGGGATATCCCATTCAGCATAGCTCAGCAAAAACTGCTCCCGTCTTCCTGCTAATCTACCTCTAAGGATACAGCCTCAGCTTGCCTGAGCCTTTTGGCTGCCACCCCTCACCACTCAAAGCACACGGACGCGCCTGTGGTCAAGCTGGCGACGGCATGGCGGCCCTCACGTGTCTGCAGGCAGCCTGCCCTCCACCACTGTCCGGCAGCTGGCCAGGCACAGGCAGTTTGCTTGCAGTTCATCAGTGGGTCTCTGTTCCCATCCTGTACTACTATATGTCTGGGCCCCAGCTGGTACTTGGAGGTAAGGCCAGCTTTATGCAGGCTGTCATATAGGACAGATCCCTGAAGGCAGGTTCTAGGCTTTGTCACCCACCAAGTGACCTGGAGCCACTGTAAGTTCACCTACACACCAGGGTATGATGAAGGCACCCACAATGACTAATGCATAAGGCTAGAAGGTGATTGGAGTATGGGAGAGCCTGGGAAGAAGGCTTCTAGTAGCTGACTCTGCACCTTCTCCCACTTCGGCATATGAAACCACCCAGCAGTCCCTCCTGTGGGCAGGGGAGGGGGCCCAGCCTGACCACTCTTTCTCCCCTCTATCCCAGACCAGAGATGTTCGTTTCATTTGTGTCGACACCCCAGGCAGCATGTGGCCCAAGACCTGAGGCCCCCCATGGGCCCCCACCACCCTTGCTGCCCAAACCTGGAAAAGACAACCAGAGACTTCAGAAGCTACTGAGAAAAGCCGCCCGGAAGAAGATGGTGGGAACAAACCTCACCCCACCTGGGGTCTTCCGTACCTCCCTGTCCCCTGTGAGTGAGGCCAGTCATGACCTGGAGACCACCGTCCAGCGTCCTACTGAAGCCCCTCACTTGGTGGTCCCCCTGCCCCGCTCACCACATATCCCCATTGTTCACCACGTAGCCTCGCCCCTACAGAAGTCCACTGTCTCTTTCAGTCTTCCTCAGCAAAGGTCTCTGGCAGCTCATTTCAAGGCACCGCCTAGGCTTGAAGCCGCAATCCCAGAAACTGCCTGGCCCAGCAATGGCTTTGCCCATGTATCTGCCCCTACAGCAGCTGGTACCCATATCACCCAAGTGCATATCCGGCTGTCACCATCCTCGCATACTGGGACATCCGAGTCCCCCAGGGTGGCCCTGGATGGGGATAAAAGCCTGTGTAATTCTCATACCCAGCCTCTCATCCCAGTGGCACACATTCGCCCACTGCCCACCGGGGTACAGGCAGTCAGTCCTGGGCCTGAGGAGCCCCCTGTAACAAGGCCACCACCCAGCTTTCAGGCCTCAGCATCCAGAGAGTCAGGTGCTCGAGTGGTGGTACCCATAGCCCCTACCTACCGCTCATCTGGACTCTCGCCTTATAGCCCAGCTCCTGCAGCTCCCGAAGCAGAACACCTAGAGGAGCTGCCCACAGCCAGGCTTGCCATGGAGCCCAAGCATGTCTCCAGCCTCCCAGCAGCCTCAGGTCCCTCGGGCCTCCCCCAATGCCCTGTTCCCAAAGTTGCACCCAAGCCCTGCCTTAGTGGTTGGACACGCCTGAAGAAGCAACTGATGGAGGACGCAGAGCAGCCTGCATTTCCAGAGCCGGAGCTGAGCGTGCAGTCTATGCAACCAGAGGTGCCAGCCCCCATGGTCCCACAGCCCCCTGCCTCCAGGGCCTCTAGGATGTGGGACGCAGTGCTGTACCGTATGTCACTGACTGAGTCCCGTAGAAGCCACCCTGTGGGGCCCGGAGATGGGGGACACCCCCCAGCCTGCCTCGGTCGCTTGCCTTTTCTGTGCCGACCTCGCTTCAATGCCCGGAAACTACAGGAGGCTGTCCGGCCTGCTCCTACACTGCACCCCATCCTGGAGCTACACTCCCAGCCCAAGAACTTCAACCGGACAGCAGCAGGTTGGAGACTCCAGTGATGTAGCCAGAGTGGCCTCACAGACTCTGGACTGGGGGAGGGGGGGCAGAGACCGACTGAGGCTGAGGATACAGAGAGAGGGTCTCAGTCCTCACAAGTGAACACAGTGGGTCAGGATAGTGCATGGCCATGGCCATGGCAGCTGGCTGCTCAAAGGAACCTATTAGATAGACACAGACAAGTTGGTGGGAGCGGTAGTGGCAAGTGAGAGATGTGGATGAAGCGGGGAGCATGTGTCTGGAGGCAGTTTGGAGTGGTGGAGGAGAATGCAAGTTGGAGAATATTTATGGATGATGGGAGCCTGACCTCAGGACCAGGGTTCATAGAGGGCTTTAGGCCCAGTGCAAGCTGGTTTGGGTGAGAGGTATTCAGAGGTACATAGGACTGGGCAGTGGAGAAAGGATGTTCTGTGGTCTCATGTGTGTCTCTTCTGATTCCCGTCAGTAAGGGCTTACTGGGTAGGGCTACACTGAGGGCAGGGCTTAGTACAAATCATAACCAAGTTTCAACAGTCGGGTAAGGACAGGTCAAACCAGAGGGTTATAAAGAGGCAGGGGCCAGGCACTAGAGGGACTCCACCCCTAAGATCTGCCCAACTCTGACAGAACATCAGCTGTGAGAGGAGGGACCCAAAGGAGCCAGGAGAGGCTCTCCGTCACAGCCACCACAATGGGATTCAGCAGGGATTGGGCCAGAAGTCCTGCTTGGAATATGATGGGTACTATGGCTGTGGACAGAGCTACCAATAAATGTATGTATACCCATACAGGCATCACCTCTGTGTTTTTCATGGGATGGGGAATGCAGCAGAGTCCCTAGGGGTCTTCAGCAGGGCAGGGGGACAAGCCAAGGTCCCATCTCCTTTACTGGATGTATGGTAACCCACACTTTTGGATTCTGTGCCACACTCAGTTTCTCCGGGGCCGACTCACATATCGTGAGTCTCACTGGATATGGTAGGAGTTCCTAAATAGAGTTTGAGTCTCCTATGAACAGTACTGGGCCAACCTGATCCTGCTTGAGGGGAGAGAGTTCCGGGCTTCAGAGAGCCAGGAAGACAGCTGGTAGCCAGACAGAAAACACAGCAACTCTAAGGCCAGGTCTTCAGCCCTCAAGACCTAAGATATGGCCCATCTAGGCCAGTATGCTCCCGGGGGGACCCATTTTGTCATGCTTTGGTCCTTTGACTCACCAAGATACATACATGATCTATGGCGCTGGGCTGTCATCCACAAGCACTTTCTCATACTTCCCATGTCCAGTGGCCACGAACTTGTACCTCTTTCCAGATGGGGTGCTCTGTTAGGTGAGACTAAGCATCAAGGAGATAGCTATAGAAGGGGGATGCTGCTGTCTCCAGAAAGTCTTTGAGGATGGAATGTAGCCGCCGCCATCTTGGCTTACTAACCTTGATGGTGGATGAGGTCTTTGAGCCTCCTTTCTGCTCCCACAGGCTTTTCTTGCTCATGTCTCCAGCTACAATATCCTGGGGGTGGACACAGGGCAGGGTCAGTCACAGGACAGTTACGGGCCAACGGGCCTTTTCTTCTGCCTGACATTAGCTGACTGAAAGGTCAAGAACCTGCCCACCTCACCCTTGGCAGGGAGGAAAAGAGAGTCCTACTGCCTGTTTATTAGGGCAACATGGATTTTTCCTTGAGTCCTGAAGCCTCACATCCACACTTCACCTTGGCTACCCCAGGTTTGCTTTTCCAAAGGGAACCACCCACCCGCCTCCACGATGGCCAATTTCCCATGCTCTGCCCCCCCCCCCCCCAGTTTGGTCTGCCTGGAGAGGAATCCTACCTGGCAGGAGGGTGTCTTGGAAGCCGACTGAGTCTGTACCTCTCCTGTCTCCCAACGATTCTTGGTACTGGCCACAGCCATGCTGGGCAGCTCTATGGAGGGCTGTCGGGACAGCTTGGGAGTTCGACCAGCAGACTACAGAGGAGACAGATCCCCAAGACAGTCATCATGATAGGCACCAGCAGCCTTTCCTCATCTTTGTGTTTGCTGGAGGTAGGGATTGTGGACAGATGTGCTAGCCTTCATTTGGTGCCCCATGAGCTACCCCCACTTCTGAAGAACATGGGAGACACAAGGTCATATGGGTTCTGCTTCATGCTACACATTTGGGGGCTGGAAGAACATTGTTTGGATGGAGTTTATGGGTTAGATGGGAGGTGCTGGCTAGGTGAAGAACAGGGCTGATGGAGGGATGTTGTTGAGGCACATGGGCTTTGTTAGACTGAGGGAGGATTGGCTGCATGAGGGTGTGTTGTATGGTGGGAGGGGCACTGGCGGAGTGGGTGTGTGACAGGACAGAGGCATGCCCACTGTGATGTGAGAGACCTAGAGTAGATGGAAGAGCAATGAGAGTTGAGGGAAGGACACTGTACAGTAGAGAGGGGCATGATGGGATGGAGAGAGGAGCTTAGGTGGATGGTTGATGATGGCTATTAAAGAGGAGACTTGGCCTCGGAGAACTGAGTATACTTTACCTCAGTGGCCTGGGTATACTGCTGCAAGCGCTCATCAATTGTGGAAATGGGCAAGGTTGGTTGGGACTTCTTCACACTGTTGCTGGGGGTAGAAGACAGGATAAGTCTTATGTTCCTTTCCAGTGTCCTCCCAGCCTACCCAAACAAAGCCCCTCCCAGGATACCACATCCCCCGATCTCAGTCCACAGCTGCTATCCCACCGTGTCTTTGAGAATGCCGGAAAGAAGGGAGACACACCTCTTCTGTATGGAGCGATTCAGGGACTCCGTCCTATCTGCCAGCTGTGGAGGGTGCAGAGTGTGGTCATGGAGAGACACACGAGGCCCAAGTTCCATCTCTCAGTGAGTCTCCCCACTTCCCTATCACAGGGGTTTACCAGTGCGGCAGGGAATGGATGAAAAGAACATGAACAGTGGACACAAAGCAGGGAGAAAGGGGATACTCAGGCTTCACCTACTTTGGTGGTGGGGCTTAGGGGAGGTGAACTCAGTTCCACAGTCTCTTCCAAAGCCAAAGGGCTGGGGGTCCTGGCCTGATGACTTGTCAGGTGCTAGGGAGAAAAAACACGTGCAGCTTAAATGACCTTTCCCTGTGCCCTCCTACCCCACCCAGAGCCTGTCTGAGGCCTCTGGGGCCTCAGGCCTAGTCTGGCCCTGACACGCTACAGCTCTGGAATCTCCAGCTGCTGGGAAGAATCTCTTGGTCATCAGTGAGGAACTTGCCCAGAGGGTCACCAGCTTCTCCACCCTCCAAGAAAGTGTTCTGGAAGGACTCAAGGACAGCGTCAGGGAGTGACCGTCTCCCATAGGTCAATCTAGGAGACCACAGCACCCCTGCAGTATCACAGACCTAGCCCCTCAGGGAGCCCTCATCTCTTACCTCTTCTGTCTCCCCAGAATTCCCAACAGCATCCTCTGGATTATGCTCCCTCTGGCTCAGGCACAACTTCTCTAGGTAAACGTTGGTTTGGTGAGAACTGTGGAAGAAAAGAGAGGCAAACTTAGTTGTAGGAGACCATTTGTTACTTGGTTCTAGGCAACTTCCAGTTCCAAGCCTTAGGTGTGTCATCTGTAAAACGGGAGCAGTCCAATTGAGTTGGTCCACAAGGTTCTTAAGACCCCAGTGATAAAAAAACATTAGGGTTTATTTAAAGAGATGGGGTGTTTCAAAGGACAACTTGGGGGAGTTGGCTCTCCTTCCTCCATGTGGGTCCTGGGTCTCTACCTCAGGATGCTAGGCTCAGTGGCAAGCACCTTTAACCACGGAACATCTCACAGGTCTAGCCAAGGCACTTTTATAGAAGGATATGTAGGGCTTTGTTCAAAGCCAGCACTGTCCTAGGGCCTCTGTGCCGAGAAGCCCTAGAAGGCTCCCTTGAAGATATTAGCTACTGCTCACTCACTGAATAGGGCTGCCCAATTGCTGAAGCTGGACACGTCCTGCAGCCCTCTATCTGGATAAGTCCAGTTTCTGGGGGCTTTTGCCTTGCCCATATATGGGCAAATAGATCAGCAGAACACAGCATTGAGGAACGGCCACTGGGGGCCCAGACCCAGAGTGTTTGGGGGTGCTGGATTAGCGGGTGGAAGAAGCTAGGGAAGGGACTGCATTACTGAGGTGAGGGGCCTTGGAGAGGGGCAGCTAGCCAACGGGCAGCCGGGCGTGACTCTGCATTCGAGTGGCTCTGAACCTGGAGGAGAAGATAGTAAATTCTTGTATTTTCCATGATGTCAGGCCCCTTGGTGTACGTGCCAGCCAAAACCCAAACCCACCGCCCAAGGTGGGCTGGGGTTGGAGCCAGCAGCAGCCACACAGAGGGGCCATTCAAGAGCTGGCGTGGACCAGGCAGCTAGGCGGGTTTGAGGGTAGGGTGGAGGCTGCAAGGCCAGAGCTCCGCCTGAAGATCGAAAGTGCCCCCTGCTGTTGAGCCGAGAAGGGAGTGCGCTGAGGGCAGGGCTGTAGCTGCCTGCCTAGAAACCCAGAATACACACAAAACACATAGGCACACAGGGGGAAATTGAGGCTGGCAATGGGCAGACCCAGGATAGCTGGCAGTGGACAGACTCAGAACCAGGGCCCCAGAAAAACAGGGGTTTTGGAATGCAGAGGGTGATTGAAACTGAAGTTCATTAAATGAGAACAAGAAAGAGCTGAGCTGAGTTCTTGCTGGCCCAGGGGCCTCTGAGGGGCCAGAATGGGGCTGAATCACTGAGCAAAGACAGCTCAGCCTTTGGCTTTGGCCCACTCAAGGCAATGGGGGCTCTGGCCTCCAATTTTGGAGCTCCTTAGCAGGGCCAGAGACCCTCACTACCCAGGCCTGGTGGGAGAGGCAGACTTATCTTCACACCTGGCCCTGATCTGGGGGGGAAGGCAAGGTGAGACGCCATCAGCAATCCTTCATCTCCGGACCCAAGGGGGCTTTGGACCCCCATTTGTCCTGATTTAGACAGGCACACACGTCCACACATCTGGAAAGCGTGTCCCCTGGGCCGCCTCACAGGCGCACATCTGGAAGTACCTGCTCCCCTTCGTGGGAATGGAGCTCAGCCAGCCTGGGGAGGGCGGGCGGGCGTGGGCTGCAGCGCCTACATTACGTAAGTGGGCCGCAGCTGTGTGCTGATGTGGCAGCCCCCCACCCCTGTTGGCTGCAGCTGGTCAGGATGGGGCCCCCAGCCCTGGGGAACCCAGGAATGCAATATCTTCATTGCTCTCTCCCTGTAGCCCCCTCACTGGCCACCCTGCCATCTATCTCTTTTTTTTCCTACCTCCCTACCCGCTTCACAACCTCTGAGCATTTTGGGGGCCTTTTGGGGAAGAGCAGACAGAAAGGAATTGTCTAGGCCCAGGCTGGGTTCAGAAAGAGCCAGTGCCCTGCCCGGCCTGGTCCACACTTGCCTGTCCTCTGCCTGTTTTTCCTCTGGACTCTCACTTTGAGAGGGCTCACTACCCTCTGCAGTCCCCTCGTTCCCCCAGGTTTGCTGCCGCTGCTCTATTTTTTGGGACCAGTCACCAAAACCCTCATCTTCATCCAGTTCAGAGGACTTTATCCTGAGGCTGAAAGAACAGAGGAAAAGAGGGTTAGGAAAAGACGCCACAGCCTATGCTCCTTTCCTTGTCTCTTCCCTTAGACCCGGACTCCCAGAGTGAGCCACCATCTGCTTCAGAGATGGCTCTCCATGGCTACATTCTGTCTGTTTGAGGTCAGAGAATCACCCAGGGTAGAGCTGTGCCTTCTCTAGCAGCCTACAGCTTTCCAAGAGCAGAGTTGTGCTTTTCCTGTCCGTCTAGGGCTCCCTGAGGGCAAAGCTATGGCTCCACCATTAGTCTAGGGATCCATGATGACAGAGCTATGGCTCCACCATCAGTCTAGGGTTCCATAAGGACAGAGCTATGGCTCCACCATCAGTCTAGGGTTCCATGATGACAGAGCTATGGCTCCACCATCAGTCTCGGGTTCCATGATGGCAGAGCTATGCTCCACCATCAGTCTAGGGCTTCCCAAGGACAGAGATATGGCTCCACCATCAGTCTAGGGTTCCATGATGACAGAACTATGGCTCTACCATCAGTCTAGGGCTTCCCAAGGACAGAGCTATGGCTCCATCATCAGTCTAGGGCTTCCCAAGGACAGAGCTATGGCTCCACCATCAGTCTAGGGCTTCCCAAGGACAGAGCTATGCCTCCGCCATCAGTCTAGGGCTTCCCAAGGACAGAGCTATGGCTCCACCATCAGTCTAGGGTTCCTTAAGGGCCAGACTTTGTTTTTCTCATTAGTCTAGGATTCTTTGAGAGCAAAGATGTGCCTCCTCCTTCAGTCTATGACATCCCAGAGAGTAGAATTATGCCTCTACCATCAGTCTAGCGCTTCTTGAGAGACAGACTCTTCCTACCTCATTAATCCATGACTCATCCAGAACAGAGTTATGCCTCCTCCTTCAGTAGAAGGTTCTCTGAGAGCAGGGCTATCCCTCCCCCGTCAGTCTAGGGCTCTTTGAAGGCCAGGCTTTACTGCTCATATTAGTTTAGGGTTTCCTGAAAGCAGAGATATCCCTCCCCCACCAATCTAGGTCTCTCTAAGAATACACATAGCTTTGCCTCTTCTTCCAAGCTAGGGCTCCCCAAGGACTAGGCAATGCCTTCTTCAACAGTCTAGGGCTGCCTGGGGGCAGGACTGTGTTTCTTCAACAATCTAGAGCTCCCCAAAAACAGAGCTCTGTTTCCTTCTTCAGCTAAGGACTGCAGGAGAGAGGGTGTGCCTTCCCCCATCTATCTAGGGCTCCTTGAGGCTGCTGTGGTTCTCAGGGTGGTTCTCACAGCCTTTTTCAAGGATCAGGGTGAGCTACTGGGCAAGAAAGGGTTGGGGGCTAGCAAGGACCCAGTAACTAAAGACCTGACAGAGAGGCCATGACCCCTGCAGCACCCCACCCCGCTCAAAGCTGCTGACTTCGAGAAAATGGAACAAAACAGGGCCAGGAGGAAGGGGAGAGTTATTGGAAAAACAGCCCAGCCCAGCCGCGGAGGCCTCCTGGGCCCGAGGAGGAAACGAGCCGGCCCGTAGCCGCCAACTTGGACGTGGCCTCCGTGAGTCACTGGCAGCCAGGAGTTTGGGCGGGGGGCTTGGGGGCCAGGGCCTCATGGCTGGGGTCAGCACCAGTCCAAGCCAGGGCTGGAGACGTACAGGGTGTCCAGAGCCTGAGTCAGGGCCCCTGGAGGCTGGTTGGAAGGGGAGGGCCTCACATAACTTTATGGACCCTCTGGCTAGTCAGCATCCCACAGATGGTGTTTACTGGAGACTGCAATGACCTTTGTCCCAGGAGCTGGTCCCTTCCTCTAATTCCTACGCTGTGGCTCTAAGTCCAAGGCCTAACCCCCCAGTATGTGCTTCTTCCCAGGTCCTGTGTGGCAGTAAAGAGGGGTCCAGGACCCAGCAACCTACAGTGTCTGCTGTCCTGTCTGCTCCAGGGAACGATCGCCTTCCTCTTCATCTTTGTCCTGGTCCTGCAGCTGCTTCTCTCGTTCCCTTTGGCGCTGTTCACGGGCAGCCTCTTCTTGGTCTTCTTCTTTCCACTGAGCTGTGAGCCTGAAGGAGCAGACCCAGAGAGACAGTCGACTGAGACAGTCTTGCGATGAGTGGGATGGTGAGGGGAATGGACAAGCCCTGCTGTTGGCAGGCACGGGTAAATCCCTGGACCAGCCTGCAGGCCTCAGTTTACTCTAAGATGAAGGCTGTGCAAAGCAGTTGTGAAAGTGCCTTTGCCCAAGGGGGGTAATCCCAGGGCTCTGTACACATAGGTGAGCCTCTGCCAAGAGAGGAGACATCAGTGTCCACATAGGTTTCAGGCAACCCAATGTTGGGGCTTGTGACCAACTGTCCTGTCATGCTGACTGCTTCCTATGTTAGAACATAGTTACCTTGTTCAACGTGGGGACCAAGAAGGACGTTGGGAAAGGTGACAATGAGTTCAGAGAGTCTTAGACATGGCCACCAGTCAGATAGCTACCCCTACAATCTCCACCTGGAACCTTCCTTCCTGTCTTCAAAAAAATGGCATGTTGGGAGACAGTAGCCACCATACAAGGACCAAGTGTGTAGATTGCATCTAGAAGTCACCAGGTCAGGCTCAGGCTCTCTTTGCATCCACCCAGCTCCTTTCTCTCTCTACTTTGCACTTGGGTACCTTAGAGCACCCCAACCTCAATTCAGGGTCCTCTCCACAGAAGTCTCTCTGGGTTATGTCAAAGGTGGGTAAACTGAGGCAAGCAACATCTGCAGCCCTCAGAGTATGCTGATTCAGGCTCCTTAGAATTCCTTTCTCTAAGCCAGGCACAGTCAGAGGAATCAGGCTGGTCTGGGCCTAGGGGGTCTGGAGACCCTATACAGCAAACCTGTGTTGCTGGTGTCTAGTAGATACTGCAGGCCTTGGCCACTGTTCCCCCCAACAGCCCCTCTAGCTTGTCTGGAGTTGAGAGGGGTTGGGTCCTCTGTTTTACAGTTCCCACTGCCCCAGGACCAAGGTGCCTGAGCTGCTCAGAGTCAAGTCTCCCTTCTGGGGTCTCTGTGCTTCCCGGGCAGTGTCCGCCGAATGACCCCACAGCCGGCTCCCCTCTGGGCCTCAGTCCCCTGGCCAGGAAGCCCTGCCAGTACATGATCTAATCTCTCCAGGTCTCCCCTAAGCCTCTCAGACAAAAGCCAGGCCTCTCCACAGGCTCCAGGATGAGGTTCACTCCTCCCTCATCCCCCCACCACCTCCCGCCCGCCAGCCACATGGGACTCCAGCCACGCAAGCTGCCTGCCCGCCCCTACATTGCACCCCCAAGCCGAGCTGCCTGCCTCAGCCTCAGAAGGGCCTTCAACTTCCAGCCTGAGAAAGCCCCTTAATTCCCTACACCTGGCTCCCATCACAGGCAGATGCCGAGGGCCTCCTGGTTCTCTCCGTGGCCTCAGCCAATGTGGGGGCCGCTTTTGGCCCCTCTCCACCCAGTGAAGTACAACTCTGCTCTGGGGGCTGTGGATTGCTCCTTGCACACACGTTAACCAGCAGACCCCCCCCAAAATGTCAGGGTACAGTGTTTGGGAAAAAGAGGGCTTCCTACTCTGCCTGCTTTCTGAGGCAGACCATAAAGAGATAACCCCTGGGTGGGTTTGTCCTTGTTTTCTGAATCTATGTATGTGCAGGTAAGTGTACAAGTGTTTGAGCCTATGTGCAAAGTTCTTGTGTGTGTGAAAGCACTCAAACACTTGGGTGGCTGTGTAAGACTGAGATGGGGGTACAGGACTCACTTAGCTCAGCTCCGAGTATGGATATCTTGAATCGGGGGTCTCACTCTGAACCGGACCAGAGCCTCTCCTGTTCTACCAGGTGCAGCCTCCTTGCAAGCACAGTTGTGGGCAGGACCCCTCAGAGTCCTTCACTCTTGGAGCAGAGAATCCAAGCTACCATAGCTTGTCACCAACACACAAAGCCCGAGGAAAGGGGCTATGGGGGCTTGGCTTGCAGCAAGTATAGGGACCAAACAGAGCTTTTTCCTGAGCAGGGTACAGGACACACAGACATTTCATGTGGCCACATAGGCACTCACACACAGGCCCTCCCACGCACGTGCTCACACATGAGTACACAGGGTCACCCTCCAACATGTGCAGGCAAGGGTAGGGAACAGGGGATCACAAACAGCAGGTCCTATTCCCTCCCAAGCTCTCAGGGGGCCGCCCCTGCCTCACTATTTACTGTTTTCCTAACCATCACCCCGACAACGTGGTGCCGGCCTGAGCCTGGGGCTGGCAGGAGGCCAATGTGTATTTTCTGGGAACATCCTTTGTGGGACCCACCCCCTCCAAAGTTACCCTAACTTAGCCCTCCCTGGACAAAGTCTTGGTGACAGTGGGGTGCAGGATAGGGGTCTACCAGCATCACCCCTCCAGCCCCTTGCTGGAGAAAAGCTTGTCCCAGCTCCTGACCCTGCTCTGAGGCTGAGCAGGCCTGGGGCCCCTTTCCCCTGCCTCTTCCCTCCTGCCTGCCTCAAGCAATGAGTAATGCGCCCCCTCCCCATGACCTCACCCCGTCGCTATTCCACAGCTGGGCTCCGTTCTGGGAACTGGAAGGGGGTGGCTCTCCTGGGGTGGGGTGGGGTGGGGGCCTCTGGCCTGGGAAAGGCGCCCCCCGGCCAGCGGCCCAGACCCCTTGGCACGTTCTTCGGAGCTGTCAAGACTCTGGCGATGGCCGCCCCGCCCGTGGCCCTGGCCCCGCGCAGCTGCAAGGGATTTGGCGTTCCCGTACAAACGCAATCAGGCCATTTCCTGAGTCTGTTCTGGCTCGGGGGGCCCAGGGCTCAGCCTAGGGGCTGAGGAATGGGGCCCTGTCCCCCCACATCCTGCCCACACTGTTACAGGGCTTACCACAGGCTGGGGCTGGGGTTGGAGCTCAGCCTGGGCTGGAGCCCCACCCAGGTGCACTAGGGTGTACAGACCCCCACCAGCTCCCACTCTGAATGGGGCTCTTTAACTCAAGGCAATTGCTCCCGTCTTTTGCACCCCTACACAGTATCTCGTTCCTCTTCATCCTCTGCACCCCTGCCCCCTCTCCTGCTGCCTAAACCCTGCTGAGAGCCCAGCAGAACCCATCCTGGATCTAGCCTTCCCAGCTACCCACCCTCTTTGTCCTCCTAAGGATACTTTCAAAAGGTTGACAGGCTTCAGTCCCTGTTGCAATTCTGCCCCCTGCAGGCTGCCCATGTGACTGCCCCTTGCAGCCAGCTTGAGCTCAGAATCTGTACTGTTCCTACACCCTTCAGGGGGGACACTAGAGGAAACTGAGGAGTGCGATCATGCAAGGCTATCCCAGGTGACCTTCAGATTACAGGGGGCCCTCCCACCACTGTCTCCTGGGTACCAGAGGACTGTAAGTAGCTAGAGGACTGGGGGTAGCCACCAAGAGGGGTTGATTTGATTCTCTAAGACCACCAGGGTCTCTTGCCCTCAGGGAGGAGCTTCCCCAAGGTCACAACACTGCCCATCAGGGGTTCTCTTGACCTGAAAGTGACAGCCAGCTTAGCGTTGGGCTAAGGGACAGAGCAAGGAAAGCCCTCCTGGTGCAGAACTCTGAAGGTGGGACTCAGGGTCAGCTGTGAGTGATGGCTGTAGGCTACCACCCACGTCCCCTCACTTCTGAGCACCAGTCCCTGTAGCTGCTATCAGCAGGACACATTGAGTGTTGGAGGTAGGGGTCCCATTCCCTGCGGACAGTCTACAGAATGGTGTGGGGGGTACAAATGCTCAATTGCCACCCACTCTGGAAAGAAGCAAGGAGGTGGGTGTGTGGGGGTGCGCTCAGATGAGAGTGCAGAGCCTCTGGTCAGTAGGTGAGTGCTAGGTGGGACAGGCGGGAGAGGATAAATTCTCTCCCCGAGGAGCCTGGTCCCTACCTCTGGACACCTGGCTCCGATCCAGTCCCCCCTCCCCTTCATCATCTTTTAGCAGAGCATGGACGTGGTGGGGTTATTTTCTTTTTGTCAGAGTCAATGTACCCAGGGGTTATTTCACTGGGCAAGACCATGTCTCCACCGCCCAGAAAAGCACTGTAATTACTTGGTTGAAGGGAGGGGCATGGTCTTGCCCACCGCTGTAACAGAGAAGTGGACCTTTAGGCCAAAGAGAAAGAGAGTGACACAAAGTCACGTGACAAAGAAGCCTGTGGGCCCCAAAGGGACTCTGTGACCCACAGGGTGGCCCTTGAGGTGTGAGTTGATCCCACACCCAGGAAGTCCTGGTTCTATTTGGGGAGCTAGTGGGGAAGGATGTGTGTGTGTGTGGGGGGGGGAATGAGATGCAGGACAGAAGGAAGTGGGAGGGAGAAACCAAGCCTGGGCCAAGCTGGGAATGGGGGGACAGGAAGTAGCTTTCAGAACAGCCCAGTATCCATGACATGTACAGCAAGACCTGGACCTCAGTTGGCAGGGACAACGAATGGGGCCTGGATTTGCAGCACAAGATGAAAGGGTCCCTGGAGACAGTCAGTACTAGGTCATGGCTGTAGGAAATGCCTCCCCAGGGTGGAGATTTTTAAGGAGCCCCACAGAAGCAGAGCAGGCCAGAGGTGGGGAGATGGGGTAGATGGCACAGGGCAGCCTGGGTTTCCATACCTGGTCCCCAGGTCTTTCCAGCCCAGGGCACTGCCCAGGTCTATATTCTGTCCACTGTGAGAAAAACACCCAGGTTAATACCAGAGGCTCAGCCCCAGTGGCTCGTATTCCCAGGCTGCTGACCTTGGTCACAGGTAATCTGGACAGCCAAGCTTGCCTCTGGGATCAGTACTTCCCACTTTAAAGATTCAAGCCCTCTATTCTGTGAGAGTACTTGGTTTGCCCTACCCTCAGAACACACAAGCTGCCCACGTTCTTGGGACATGGTTAGTGGTATCCGTACAAGCAACAGTTCTGAAGGTTCATGGTGGCCAAACCTAGGGGCAGGCCTTGGGAAGATTAAAAAGTGCAGATTGGTTGGCTGGGGCTATGGGAATCACAGAAGGTTCTGGGCCGAGAGTGGAGATGCTCAGAGCCAGGAAGCTTCGACTGCCTCGAGAGGAAACGGCAGATGAGGGGGAGACATTATAAGTGGGGAGTTAGTTGCTGTCATTGGGACAGCTCATCATGAGGACCCTGGAATGGGGGTGTCACATAGAGGAAGTTGCAAAATCAGGATGGGCATACCTGTCTCCTGCCCTCAGGAAAAGATCGGCACAAACAAGCATGTGGGAGGGCATTGGGGAGGCAAATTGGGGGAAGCCTACGGATGCATGTCTCAGGGGAGCAAGGATAGGGGTTAGGTGGAACCCCGGTTCTGGAAGAAAGGGAGTAATGAAGGAACTCATCCACCCCACCTCACACACACATGGGGGCCAGCCTGGGGTCCTAAGATTTAGACATCCTGCAGAGGGCCTCCGAGGAGGCTGTGGACTCCAGTTCTCTCTTTCCTACCAGATGGAGGCGCTGTCCGCCCAAGGTGGGCCAGGTGGCCACCACTCTTGGTACCCTTTGAATGAAAAAGATTTTGAGGTGGGTAGGACTCATGGGCAACTATCTCCACCAACTGACCTAGAACTACCCACTTTCCCTCGTGACAGCTAAGGCCTTGTGCCTCTGTGTTGTCTCCACAGGCCATACTCCCCCCATGATTCTGCCTTTTCTCAAGGGCAGTACATTGCATTAGAAGACATCTATTTGCCTCCACCCAGGCCCCTCAAACCTGCAGTCTTCCCAGATGGCCTCTGTCTGGAGTTTAGTGCCAAGACGTCTTAGAGACGGCCATCCCCGCATGTCAGGCCCGTCAGACCCTTGCACGGGATTTTGCTCCCCGGGAGGGAGTCTTTCTGGCTTCTTCCTCTGCCTTTGCCCCCCCCCCCGCCCCCACATCTTGCATGATTGCTGAGTCTAAACCCCACCCAGCCAGCATCTCTTCAGTTCTGCCTTCTTTCTTTCTTTCTTTCTTTCTTTCTTTCTTTCTTTCTTTCTTTCTCTCTCTCTCTCTCTCTCTCTCTCTCTCTCTCTCTCTCTCTCTCCCTCCCCCCCTCCCTCCCTCCCTCCCTCCCTCCCTTCTTGCTTGCTTGCAGCTGAGGACTGAGAAAGCTGAGGTTGCACCTGGGGCTTACCTCCAGCAAGGGGAGTCAGAGAGACCAAGGCTTCCTCTGCCACCTCTGCCACCACCCCTGTCTCTGAAGGCCTGGTACTCTGCTGCAGCTCAACAACACCCCAATACCTACTCTCAGCTCTACTGCCCCTACACTAGCTGTGTTTTACCTTCCTAAGATAATGACATGCCTTTTTTCTCCCACAAACCACTCCCCTCCTCTTTCTTAAGCATTTCCCTTGCCCACCAGTGCCAACTATGGTAAGCTCTCCACTGCCTCAGTGCATCTTAGTGGGGCTGAGAGGCCAGCCCTGACCCTCTGGTGTAGAACAAAGGCCACAGAAGCAAGCACATGCTCTCTCAGGCACATGGGGCAGTGAGTGTGGACATGCAATTGACATAGTGTACTTAAGGCAAAGTATCATCATTGCTCATTCTGCCCTGGTGGCATGGTCGGGGGGGGGGGCTGCTGCAGAGTGATCAGGGCATCAAATAAACACATAGACATCTGGGAGACATTTTTAGAAGGGACCGTGGTTTGGGGGATCTGGGGAGGGGAAGGTGTCTAATGACAAAGCTTGCTTACCTTCAGGGTGCTCCCATCTTCCTGTCCTGAGTACAGATGCAAGTACTCCTGTCCCCATGTCCCTGAGTCTAGGTACATCCTAAATCATCTTGTTGCATCTCCCTGGCCTCTGAGGACTTTACATGGATGTAAAGGGGGTTCTTGCATCTGTCCTCCATCCATCCTTACCCCACAAGCTGGGGCTACCCACTTAGAATCTCACCACTTGCACACTCCTTCCTGGGAACTGAGCACACTCAGGGGAGGCAGGCACCATCTCTCCTTTAGGGCAAAGAAGGGATGAATCTTGGAGCCGGACGTCAGGGAAGTGAAATAGCAAGCCATCTGGAGACCACAAAACCCCTCGGAAGAGCCTGGTGAGTCAGATGTGGTCCACACCTGTCCATCACACTACCCAAGCCTCCCAAGTAGACTCCAAGTCTGCATTCAGAAACCGGCACACTCAACGGCTCAACCTGAAGGTGTGACATCCTCAAAGGTGTCTACAGCTGGATTCTGCAGAGCCTTTCTTAAAGAGCTTGAGGCTGAAAAATGGGAATGCTGCAGGCCCCTCTATCCCACACCTCCCTCAGAGGCTGGGTTAGGGTTCTTCTATCCAAATGTGGTTTAGAACCAAGCTGGTCTTCCCACGGATAATCCTCTCCCCTCCCCTGGGTCTGGGAACCCTACCTCCTACGATGTGCTTCCCGGTCAGCCCATTGCTGGCAGCTTCTTCATTCAGGACTCCTAACTCAAACATCTCTGGCCACCTGACCCCCATGGCCTAGGGGTGGACACCAGAGCCTAGACCTCCCATCTATTACATCTTGTCATGACGGCGGCTTGTGCTGGTCTGAGCTTGCTTCTCCCTTCACTGGCTCTGCACGCTGTGCCCTCCATCTCACTGACCAGAATTGCCACAGCGTCTAGGGCCAACTACACAGCAGCCATGAGACCTCCCTGGTGCCCACGCTCTGCTAAGCAGAGGTGTCTTCTGGCTGGCCCACTCCTCATCAAACTCCCAGTGGGGACTGGGCTCAGAGAGACCGTGGCTTGCAGCAGCAGACAGCCCTGGCAGAATGCTCACAGGGCTCACGAGGCAAGGCTCTGGCACACTCTCTGACACGCGATGATGGCTGGCACTGGCTTGAGATTGCCATCCCCTCCTCTTTCCTCCCTGGCTGGTTGTACCCAGATCCACCTCGCCCTGAAGGCCTGGCTACAGCTCTCCTAATGGATGCTGCTCATATGCCTCATCCTTCATCTGGTTTACACATTGTCTAACTTGTCTGCCCACCTGGTCAGATGCATGGCAAGTGACTATGTATAGCCAAGACACTCTCCAAACCCATAGTCCTATGCTTGGCTCTGCGTGCCCCATGTGCCTCAATTTTCCTGCTCCCCGAGTAGTCAGACAAGGAGATGGATACCTATTGATTAACTTCAATATTTTATCTGCTCCTTGGTCCGAGAACACCCTGCCTGGCCCTGTGGCCACATCTGAGCTCTCGGTGCTATCTAACTCCCAGGGATGGATCATTCCTGGGGTTCTCATGGAGGAAGGGGTCTATCCCAGGTTGACCTGTTTCAGCCTTCAGCCCAAGATATCCCTTACAAGCCATTGACGCTGAACCCAGCTTCAGTGCTGTAAGCTGCACGAAGCAGGCAAGGGCAAGTCTCCATGGGCTGAGAGAGACTCACGCATCCCTCTGGGTACCACATCAGCTGATGCCAGTGGGTCCTGCACTGATTCCAAGCCCATTTCTTGGCCAACACCTAGCGCTAAACTGAACAACCATATTTGGTTCTCACAATATCCCCACCACATATGCTGAGAAAAGAGCCGCATCCCAGACCTGGGAGACCTGTACGGTCAGTGCATGGCAGGGTGTCCTCCTCACTCTCTGTGAACTACATGTAAGGAGACAAGGCAGCCACAGGAATTGAGGGGCAGGACCCATGTCAGAGGATCCTGGTTGAGGGGGACACCAGCCCCTCCTTTCCCACAGCTCTTCCTATCTGTTTTTTTACCCTTTTCTCACTGACTCGCAAGCCGCTTCCCACCATCACCTTTATCCTTCCCCTTCAATACCAACCACCCCCCGCCCAGGTCAGCCAAGTGGGGACAGCAGAGATGGTACCTTCCCTCCAATGCTGGCTAGGACCCTTCCCCTCACCCGTGTATCTTGTTCACTTCCTACCTCTTTGCTCCTTCTTCTTCCTTTTCTCCTTTCCTACCTGGTAGGACATATTCTCTCAGAGAACTTTCAAAGCCCCCAGGAGCATCCAGTGTGCTACTCCCCTGGCACCAGCATCTCCAGGTCAGGCCCTCCATGTCCTGAGTGCCATTACCAGCTGGTCTTAGTTCATCCCCTGCCCTGGATGGATAGTAGCGGACCCTCATAGCCACATTCCTGCTCCTTGGGACGGCAACCTGCACAGCCAGCTCTATGGGCTGAGGGCCAAGTCTGGTCTCACTTGGTACCAAAGCCTGAGAACCTTTCTCTGCCCACAGAACTGCCTAATGGGTTCTAACCCCAACCACTACCCGAAGCTCCTATAGCTACCTGCAGCCACTTGCCCACATCATCCCCTGTGCTCAGATGAAGCCCTTTGCCCTCCTGTAGCCCACGAGCCCACCTGTGCTCTGGAGACCTTGGTGGTCCATCCTGGCATTGTTCTCTGGAGAGATGCTCTGGGCCTGTCGCAGTGTCCCTGGAGGCTATACCCCTGCAGCTATCCCGAGGGTCCCAAGAGCCCCACGGTGTCCCCTCCTGGCTCCAGCAGAAGCACGGGGTGGGTGAGTCTCTGGGTGCCTTGGCGCCCTGGTTGCTGCTTGCCGCCTGATCTACCCAGCTCTGACGCACCGGCTGGGACTGGAACCGGAACCTCAGTCCTCTGGGCTCTGGCCCTGACACCCTGCCCAGGGGGCTGGGCCACTTGGTCCCTGTACCCCCTGCTGCTGGCTCGGCCAGGCTCCAGGCAGGACAAGCTCTGGCAGACAGACCACCCGGCCCGCGGGGGTGCCGCCCACCGGCCACCCGGCCTGCCAGGGTGGGGCCACCCCACCCTCGGGATCTCGGCCTCCAATGGGCCCGTGGAGCCACGCCTCCCTGGACACTGTGGTTGGAGGCCTGGCTTCCCCTCCCCCCCCACTGGGCCACCCAGCAGACTGCCAGCCCCATCTGCTACCCTCTGCCACCCTGGGATCCCCAGAGGCCCAGTGGGCCACATGTGGAGTGGGAACCTGCCTGAGTAGCCTTATACCCTAGGGAAGCGATAGACTGATGCCATCCCTGCTATCTGCTGGCTGATGGGTGCTGGAACCTGATGAGAGAGAAGCTCACACCACCCAAAGGAGGCTTGGTTGGTGATGCCTGCCAAGGTGACTCCTGGCTCAGTCTCTTAGGCCAGCATCAGCCCAAAGTACTTCTGACCAGCCCAGCTGCTCTTAAATCTAGGTCCCCAGGACTGCAGAACCAGGTAGGCAGCTGAGAGCAGAGGTGGCCATCCTGCACTGTGGCCTGACCTATGGTGGATCTGGGAGGACCTGGCTCCCCTGAGGCAGAAGTGGGTATCCAAATACCTAGCACAGGGAATAGACATAAGCCGGGGGCTGACCAGCATTGTGTTAAGCCCTCAATTCATACCCAGACTCAGATGAAGAGAGCTGTAGGGACATGACATCTATGAATTTAAACTGGATTCAGTTTGCATCTTGGCCTCTGCTGGCACCCAGCAATCCCTTCCAGAGCTTGTCACAGAAGGGACTGACAGGGCTCTGCTACCAGGTATGAGGAGAAAGCCTTGGGTTCCTGGGGAAGGGTCTGGGCAAGGACAGCGAATGATAGGACGTAGGTCACCTGCTGGGTGACCTTGAACAAGTCACTTGACCTCTCTGAGCCTCTTTTCCTCATCTGTCCAACAGAGACAAGGCAATACCTATTCTCCAGGATTGGGCTAAGTGGACAGTGTTGGAGGCTGCCGGTGTGTGGACAGAGGGCACCATGGAGTCAGGGGTGAAGGGTACTAGATGGTAGCATGCACATGCCTGCACATATGTGTGTACTCAATGAACATGAGAGGTGTGTTCCATTGAAAGACCAGGCTCCCAGAGATGCACAGTTTAGCAAATAGCCACCCTGGGCCATCGCCTCCTGACACCCATTGTGGTCCCACTCCACACGTGGACAAGTGGTTCTCCGGCATCACAAGGGACAAGCCCCTGGGCCCACTCGTTCACTTCATGGGAACCCCCTTAGACCTCCGGGGGCCTGCCCTCCTGTCCTGACCACTGGTTAACTGTTGTAGGGCTTGGTTTCTGGGTCTCCTCCCACCTTTCTTCAGCTCAAGACTTTGAATGGTGCCAAACCTGACCCCTGCCCAAAGTGATGTCTTGTCTATAGCTTCCATGGCCCCGTCATCCTGCCTCTGCATTAGCAAGACGGCAGCCTGGTACAGGGTCTTGCGGCTCTTCCTGTCACCCCACAGCCACAAGGTGCTGGAATCAGTTTCCTTTTTGTTATAGGATACTGCTGAGTTGGTAAGATTGATCAAAGGCGCTCCTAAATGCCCAGGGCACGGAGCACTACGAGGAACAGTGACAAAGAAGGTTCCATCCCAGCGTGGGCAGGACGGGGTAACATCTAGCCTGAGTGAGGTGGCCATGCATCAGGACCCTGATCAGGCTGAGCTGAGCCTGAAAGACTGGCATGGGGCATGGCTATGGTATCGGCTGGGAGCTAGAGTGGAAAGAGGCTGGGAGGCCAGCTTAGACCCTGGTGCTAGTTTGCTGACCTTGGTTGGCAGCTGGGACCATGATGGGGCTGGGACGTGGAGGTAGCTGTCTCCTGGCATCTGCCCACCATCCCATCTGTGCCCTGTCTCACTACTGAGAGCCAGGCTCAAAACACAGAGACAGAAGAAACAATGCCAGGCCCACCCTCCAGGAACATGAGGTTTAAGCAGCCAGGGAAGTGGGCCAGGGAACAGGCCACCAGATGAGCGAGGAACCAAACCTTCCTGGCTAGGGAGACCATGACAGGCTTCCTGGAGGAGGTGGCACTGCAGTAGAGCTTTAAAAGCTGGAAGAGGAAAGAAAAGGAAGGGCACAGCAGGTGGCTCCAAGGGCAACAATGAGCAGTTAATCGTTAGAAGTGCCTGAGGTTTGCAGGGCCTGGCCTACAGCTGCCTATTCTCACACACGCTTTACATAGGGGACAACAGGCTGAGTGAAGAAGACTTTCAAAGACCTGAGGTCCAGAGGCCAGAGAATCAGGATCCCCAGTGTTTCCAGGCCTCCCTCTCCCAGGACTGTCAGGCCAGTGGTTTCTGGGGCCTATGGCTGTAAGTCCAGTTTCATTTGTAAAGTGGGGTCGGGTTGTCACTTGTTAGTTCCCAAGGGCAGCAAGAAGATATGATGGGGACAGGCCTGTGCAGCTACCCTGAAGATCATTCCCTGTGGGTCCCCATAGGACCTACAGGGAGCTATGGGAGGAAGAGGTGAAGCCACCTGGCTGACCAAGATGATGGCGTCGTGCTGGGCTTCTATCCTCCCGTAACACGTGCATAAGCAGGCTGGCACAGTCCGTGTGCCACATATCTGCCAGTCTGGGTGCAGGGGAGTACCACTGTCAGCAAGGGCGCTGCGGGCACCATGCCTGGGCTGGGAGGGACCTACCTCAGCAGCTTCTCCAGGCCCCGTTTGCTAGCATTTCTCCTCAGGAGTGCGGGGCCATTCATGCTGCGGGCCTGCCCACGACGATGCTGGTGACCTGGCCTGACCCCTGGCCCTGGGGACACCGCCTGCAGCTTCAAAGGCTCCTGGTGCTGTGGCCCAAAAACTCTGCTCTCCTCTCCTCTCCTTTCTTTCCCTTTCCTTCTCCTTCTCTTTTCCCTTCCTCTCCTCCTCTCCTCTCCCCTGCCCTGCCCTCTCTCTTCTCCTTGTCCTTCTCGTGTTCTTGTCCTTTTCCCGTCTCCTGTCAGTCTGTCTGGTCTCTCTGTCTCTGACACCCCTTCCTTGTCTGCTCTATCTGTCTGAAGGATGTCTGTCTGTCTCAGCCCCTCCAGCCCCTGGGGACGGGGGTGTGGGGCTGGCTCCCAGATGGCAGCTCCAGGCCCTTCCACTGTCCCTGGACCCTGTCTCTGTGGGTCTCTCTCCCCTCTCCTTTCTCAGGACGCCTAGCAGCTGCTTTCCTTTTGTCCCCCAGCCCCCTTCTCCGCCCCCTTGGTCTCCTCCACCTCCACCACCTCCTCCTCCTTCCGAGACTAGTAAAAATGTCAGAGAGAAACCCTCCCAGCCCCGCAGTGTGGGGGCCTGGCTGGACCTCCACGCCCGCTTGTGGGCAGCATGGTGGTATGCCCCCCTCAGACCATCTTGGCAGCTTCTGCCACTTCCCACCTCTCTGCCCACCACTCCACTCTGGGTGACTGGCCCATAGGTCACCTCCCCATTCTCAAAGCCTCTTGCCCATCTCTGCCTGGCTGCTGGTCCTTGCTCTGAGTCCTGCTCTCACTGACCCTGGCTCTCTCCTCCCAGGTCTGGGCCTCAACTGCCCCTGACCTGGCTGACTGCCCCTCCTTGCCCTTTTCTTCTCTTCTGGCGTTTTCACTCCTATCTCAGTCTCCCTCCTACCTTCCCTCCCCCCTTCTTTTCCCTCCCTTCTTTTTCTCCCTCCTCCCCCTCCTTCTTCTCCCCCCTCTGGGTCTTCTTTTTCCCTCTGTTTATTCCCAGCTCTCTGCTCTTGTATAACCTCCAGGGGAGGCTGGGCACCCCAGGAATCTTCCCAGGTCGCCTCGCTGGGAGGCTACTGCCTTCCCCAGAACCTCTGGCTGTATTCAGAGCAGGGATGTATAGACACCACAGAGAGCATCTTCGTTGGTGTAGAGAGCCAAAGTTCCGAAAGTGGTAGAGGGTACCCGGGTGGTCGGTGCCCTCACCAGCCAGCCCCCTACCCTATCCTCTGGCTCAGACCCAGGGACAAGCAGCCCAGCCCATTGTTTTTCTGGTTGGGCTTAGTCACTGTGACTCACTGGAGAACACTGGAGGCTAGTGGCTGGGCTGGGAGGAAGTTGCCATGGGCCAGTTCTGGGCGAGTGAGCTTGCATCTGGTGGCTTCTCAGAACCCTCACACTCATAGCTGCGGACAAGCAGTACTGCTAGACCCATGAGCCAGATGGGAAAATCAAGGCTGGCCAACAGCACTGTGCCAGGTCACAGAGCTAGAGTCTGGCAGAACCAAGACCATAGTTGGGTCTATTGACTGCCAACAACTGCCCACCGTGTCTCCCCGCACACATCTGGCCCCCAGTTGTACTCCATCTCTATACTGGAAGAATGGACACACATGGGTTACTGTGACCTCCAGGTAGGCCAGGAAATCAGAGTGCAAGAAACCTCAAGACTACTGAGGACAGAGGAGGGAGTTGGAGTCTCATGCGCGGATCACTGGTACGAAGGAGGTGTGTGCCTTAAGGTGACGAGACAGATACAGTGTCCCATGGATCCACAGTTCTAATCTGCAGCAACCAAAAAGCTGGCTACCCACCTTTTCTGCCACACTTGCTACAGGATGAGATCCAGCTGTTCTGAAGACAGCGGTTACAGCATCTCCCTCCCCCAGCCTCTCCCAGGAGGAGATGGAGCCAGAGTATATAGCAGAGACAGCAGAGTCCACTGCCCCCTCCAACAGCGCAGAGACATAATAAACAGCACATTCTGAAGTAATAAGGACGGGGCAGGGATGAACCTCCCTCTGGTGAGCCCATGCTGAGGAGATCATCCAGCGGAACCAGCTTGCGCTGCGCCTGCACCACGGTTCATCTCACCACCTCCTCGGCCCTGTTCTTATTCCAACTAGACAGTCAGGAAAGACATGTGGTCAGGGAAATTTGGGTTCAAAAAGAGGAAGAATGTTTCCAGGCAGGGGAGGACTGTCTTAATGGCGGGGGAAGTTCCTACAAAGAGATGTAGAACGATTTAATGCTTTGAAGCCATGATAAGTATGGACAAGTGAGCAGAACATTTGCTGCTGGCATTATTGTCTGTTACTTGTCCACCTACCCACCCATTCATCCATACATCCATACACGGAGCTATACACTCACTCATACACCCACTCACCCATAACTTACTCTCAATGACCTACCTACTCATCCACCCACCCATTCATCCATCCATCCATCCACCCACCCGCCCACCCATCCATCCACCCACCCACCCACCCACCCATCCATCCATCCATCCATCCATCCATCCATCCATCCATCCATCTTGTGTTTATGGTGCTTGCATTTTTAAGTACCACTTATCAACCCATCAGCTCTTTTCTTTATATCTTCTCCATATTCATTCATAAATCCGCCTTACTAGACATCTCCTCACCTAGGAAACTGCACATCTAGTTGCACACATCTGTTTGTGTGATAGTGTATGCACGGTCCTCAAAGCAAGTCAATACACTATGTATGGGAAATCAGCCCCCAACCCAGTCATCACCACCCACTCTTCCTCCCCGTCATCCTTCCACTCACATGTACACTCAGTTAGCCACACTTTTGTCCACCAATCTATATGTTAATTCAGGAAACACAAATCGAATTACAATAATTTTCAATGTGCTGGGAATTCAGCACCACTCTCTAACACTCATGATGCTGACATTCCAGTGGGAACAAACAAGTAACAATGTATCAACACATTGCCCATGATGGTTAATGCTGCTGAAAGTAGGAGTCAGGGTAGAGGCATGGAAAGAGGAGCACTGGGGACCAAGATGTTTTGGATGATAGTTAAAGCGGAAGAAAAGCTTAGTGGGAAGGAATAAGCATTTCCTGATTTAAGAAGGAGGGGGGAGAGAAAGAGAGAGAGAAGAGAGAGAGGAGAAAAAGGAGAGAAACTAACTTCCTCACAGTGGGAGAAAGTATTCCAGAAACATAGTACAACATTTATGATGGAGAGGTATCTTTTCACACATCTGTGTCTCCAATAGTTCATCCCATACCAATTTATCCATTTTATTGATTTGTTATCTGTTTATCTTGCCACCATAATCTATTATTGTATTTATCTATTATTTATTTACAGTATATGTCTGCTTCTCTTGATATTGTATCTGTCCAGTCATTTATCTATGTCCTATCTACTCCTCTTTCATCCACTTATTCTTTTATCCTAAATGCCATTCTCCAACGCATCCATTTATCTATCCCATGCATGCATCCATCTCTACATTCAACCCCCACTCATCCATCCACCCACTCATTCACCTCTCTATCCAATCCCCGTCCATCCATGCATCCAACCATCCATCTACCCACCTACCTACTAATTCATCTATGTACTCACACCCATCCACCAACCACTCATCACACTCAGCCACCCCACATTTAACCAACCACCCACATTTCTATCCATCTGCCTACTCACCCATCTATCATCTATCCATCCGTCCACCCACTCACCCATATATCATCCACCCATATATCTACCAACCCGTCCATCCATCCAACTGTCCGTTCATCTGCTCACTCATATATCAACCCATCCACCTACTCATTCATCCATTCACCTTTCCATCCATCCACCCCCTATTAATCTACCCACCCATATATCCACCCATCAAGTCATCTATCTACCCCTCATCCATCAACTTACCCATTCACCTACCCATATGTCCACCTACTCATCAATCTATCTATACAACCCCCATCTACCCATTCACTAATCCATCCACCCATCCATATATCCACCAACATTCAGTCATTCATTCATCCCACATTCATCTATCCAACCCATTGTTCATCCACCCATATACTCATCCATTCATTTATCCATCAATACATTCACTCACATATCAACCCATTTATTCATCTACCCATCCACTCACCCGTCCACCCATTTATGCTCCCTGGTCATCCATCCCACTCATATATCCACCTGTTCAGTCATTCATCCATCCACCCCTCATCCATCCATCCACCCATCTACATATTCATCCATCCAACTACCAACTCAGTTTATCCATCCATCCATCCATCCATCCATCCCTTTCTATTTATTCACATCACACTTATTCATTTATCCATCCACTCCCCCACTCACTCATCTATCCATCCAGTCACCCATCTTCCCGTCCATATATTCAGCAACATTCAGTCATCCACTCACCCATTCCTGTATCTGCCCACTTATTCATCCATCTACCCATCTATCCATCCCGCCAGCCAACCACCCACTCACCCATCCATCCACCCATATTTCGACCCATTCATCAACCCACCACCCACTCATCAATGCATTCATTCACTCCACATCCATCTGTTCACCCCATCCATACACCCACCCATATATTGACCCATTCATCCATCTGTATATTCCATTTATCCATCCATCAGCCCATCCTTAATCAACTAACCCACATATTTGCCCATTTATCTACCTGTTTTTCAATCCATCTATCCTTACAGCCATCCACCCGCTATTCTTCCACCTACTCATTCACCCATCCACCCATCCACCTACCCATATAACTTTCAATATTCAATCACCCACCCATTTATCTATCCACCCATCTACTCATTCGTCTAACTCCACTCATACATTCACCCATACACTCATTCATTCATTCATTCATCTACCC